CAAGAATTTTGTTACAAGATAGAGAGAGATGACATGATACGTAACATACGTTCACATGCAGTAACTTTACGAAGGATAACTTTCCTCAATCTCCTCAAGAGAATCAAGATCAATCCGCTGCAATAAATTAAACAAGCGTTAGGATGTGAGCCTAACAATCTAACTCCACTCACCACAAACGATCCATGGTCCGATATTTGATCCTCATTGTGACGACATCATATTATAGTCTGAATCAGATCACTGATTAAAAGCCCTATATTTAACATAGTCAATCAATCAAAAGCCGATAGCTATCGTGCTTCAGTAACATCATACCCAAAAAGAAAAAGGCAGTTCTCAGTTGATATGACGGACTTTCTGAAACGAAATCCTAGATAGATTTTAACTAAAGCATAAACTCGTATATTGTTTTCTACATTCAATGCTTTGGATTTACTATTTTCATCACATAGAAATTACTGGCTTGAACGCCTAGTGTCTCCTTACGCCAAGCGTAGATATACCTAATAAATGTTGAACTCTCTGAAAGGCCGAAATATTCCTAACATCTTGTTTGCAACTGTGTCAATCTAACATCATTATCATAAGCCATTCAAGTTCTATTACTTGAACATTGTCATAACTCCCCCGTTATATTTCTTGTATTAACATAAGGTAGTCTTACACGATCAAAGAGGTAAATATTAGAAAACCCTTTTAACTTTGGACGATTATCGAAAGACTCCCATTAACTTTCAAATTATTAGAAAACCCCTCCTTCGGCATAGGGAGTATCACAAAATCTTCTAATAATTTTTAATTTTGGGAAAATTGCTTCTAGCCCCAACTTCCTTACAAGTATTCCGCCACACCCCAAGACTTTTTCAACACTCCTAAAACCACCAAAAGCAAATTCATAATTCACTGGGACTCAAAACACAAAACCCAAGAGTTTAAAACATGTGAAGACCATAATACTCTCTCTCTCTCTCTCTCTCTCTCTCTCTCTCTCTCTCTCTCTCTCTCTCGTTCGTCATCGGCGGCGAAGAAAACTACGATCTTGAAAACGGTGATGACGAGTTGCGTCGCCAACCCCCTTAAATTTACATATTGTTGTAATTTTTTAAATCGATTACTTGAGATTAAAATAGAGTATGTAAATTTATATATTGTTGTTATTTCACTGTATTAAGTTTGTTGTTAAGCTTATGAGTTGGTGGTGAATAAATATTACGTGTTGGTTTTGAATGTTACGATGTTGTTGTGAAGTTTACGAGTTAGTTGCTAAGGGTACGTGTTGGTTGCGAAGCACAAGTTGGTTATGAAAAGATTATGAGTTGGGTGTGAATGTTACGAGTTGATTATGAAGGTTACGCGTTGGTTGTCAAGGTTACACGTTAGTTGTCAAGGATACGAGTTGGTTGTAAATGATACGAGTTGGTTGCGAAGGTTACACGTTGGTTGTGAAGATTACACGTTGGTTGTGAAGAATACGTGATGATTGTGAAGGTTACGTGTCGGTTGTGAAGGTCATGAGTTGGTTGTGACAGTTACGAGTTAGTTGTGAATGAAGGTTACATGTTGGTTTTGAAGGTTACAAGTTGGTTGTGAAGTTTATGAGTTAATTACCAAGGGTACGTGTTGGTTGTGAAAGTTACGAGTTAGTTGTGAAAAAGTTACGAGTTGGTTGTGAATGTTACATGTTGGTTGTGAAGGTTACGCGTTGGTTGTCAAGGTTACGAGTTGGTTATGAAAGATACACGTTGGTTGTCAAGCTTACAAGTTGGTTGTGAAGGATACACATTGGTTGTGAATGTTATGAGTTGGTTGTGAAGGTTAGTTAACAACAATCACAATCAACTTATTGTCGAGGTTTACAACCAACTCATAACATTCACAACTCGAAACCTTTACAACAAACTCATAACCTTCATAACCAACGCGTAACATTCACACTCAACTCGTAATCTTTTCATAACTAACTCGTAAGCTTCACAATCAACATGTACCATTGGCAAGTAACTCGTAAACTTCACAATCAACTCGTAACTTTCAAAAACAACACGTAATCTTCTTCATCACCAACTTATAAGCTTAACAACAAACGTATTACAATGAAATAACAATAATATATAAATTTACATACTCTACTTTAATCTCAAGTCATTGATTTCAAAAAAAATTACAACAATATGTAAACTTAAGGGGGTTGAAACTTAAGGGGGTTGACGCGCAACTCGTCATCATTGTCTTCAAAATCGTAATTTTCTTTGCTGCCGATACCCCCCCCCCCCCCCAAAAAAAAAAAAAAACTCATTTCAAATAATCACAATAACATTATGAGAGAGAGTGTGTGTGTATTATGATCTTCACATGTTTTAAACTCTTGGGTTTTGTGTTTTGGGGCTCAGGGAATTATGAATTTGTTTTTGAGGGTTTTGTGAGCGTTGAAAAAGTCTTGGGGTGGGCTTAATACTTGTAAGGAAGTTGGGGGCTAGAAGCAATTTTTCCTTTAATTTTTATTAGAAAACCCCTTTTAACTTTGAGATTTAATCAAAAACCCTCGCTAAATTTAAGAAAAATTTCTAATAAAACCCCTAAATTCAAGGAGGTTTTTCCCCGATATTTTGAAAGTTAAAAGAGAGTTTGTCTAATAAGGTAGGGGGTGTATGATATTTAGCCCCACGATCAAATTTCATAACCTTTCAGTAAGTTTTGTTACTAATTAATTAAGTTACTCATATAATGTTAGATGGCAGGCTTTTTCCCAATTTTTTAAAAGAGGAGTAGAAGACAACAGCATGGAGTGAAAAAGCGCAAAGTCAACACAGGTTCCACAATTTGATGGGTGTGGTCCCCACTTCCCTGAAAACGAATCTCACGCGCCCGGAGCTCGCCGACGTCATCACACGTGGCGGGTTGACCAGGTCATGCATTGAGGGCCAGTCCATGATCGGACGTCCAGCTGGACATCGGAATTCGGGTATGACGGTGATTTCTGCTTGATCGGTGCACGCAAAGCATTACTCCCTGCTCGTGGCCGCACGAAACTCGATGAACACGTCACACGTGCACAGTCAAGTGGTGACATAAAAAATAAGTTAAATTGACATTTTTGCGACTGATACCCTCTAAAACACCGCTCATGTAGCGGAGGTATAGCTTCGCCTTTTGTGCAAGTACCGCAATTTTGATAGAATTATAAACGAATAACTGTTAGAGCCTGTTTGTTTGCTAAAAAAAATGAGAACCCACTCCCTCGCCATCATCAAGAAATCTTCTCCGGTTATGTAGATTTTGGTTTCAACAGGTTTTAAAATTACACCTTTGTTTCGTTTTGTGATTTAAAGAAATAAACATGTCACGTTAGATTTTTGAAAAAACTCATTTCAGATAAAGATCATCTAAAAACACTTAGAAATGTTACTTTAAATAATTTTTAATTACTAAAAGGAGTGTTGAAACGGCGGTTGGGAATAAAAAATATTATTTAATTGCTAAAAATACTATTGTTTTTGCGGTTGATTTTCATTTCCTCTTTTTTTATATTCAAACAAACACAAGAAATGAAAATAGGTGATTAAAAAATAATATTTAATTACTAAAAACACTATTACTTTTGCGGCTGAATTTTCTTTAAATGTGACGTGGTAGGGATTTTATTGCGAAACAAACGGAAAAAGAAAAGAAAAACGGGAAATGTGCTGAAATGTCTTGAAATGGGTTGGAAATGTGTGTTTTTCATTTCTTTTTTTTTTCCCGGAAAACAACCAAACACCCTTATTAGTAAAGTTGGATGTTTCTGTTAATTTAAATGGAAATATGGGAGAAAAAATGCAAAGGGCAAAAAAGGATAATTGACAGTATAGAGTAGATGAAAGATCAATTAGCTAATTATCTGCCAACGTCACAATTTGCGAATAATGACATCTACTTCATAAATTTAGTGTATAATGTAGATTGATAAATAGATCATTCCTAAATAAAATAAATAAATAAATCAGCAGAGAACTGTGGGAAATATTTTTCCCCCACCTGGAAACTCCGATCTCATTCCTCCTATTGTGGATTTGGGTTTGGTTTATGAGTCATTATGCTTGTGATACCACAATAAAATAAAGAGTTAGATAAACAAATGTTAGATAAATAAATATGAGGTGACGACTTATTTTTTAAAAAAAATATTAAAAAACAAAAATTTATGATATTCACTTGTAACTAGTAAGATGGATCTCACTACATGTGTACTCAATACTCATCGACAATCTACTTAACAAATTAACTTGAACGTCATGCATATTTTTTTTTCTTTTACCATGCGACTATTACTTGTATAATCTATTACATGAAAAATAGCATCATTTGGCCACTTTAAAGGCTTTCAAGAGATTAAAATTGTAATTTTTTTTCTGTGCTTTTATTCGTATATTTTTCTTAATTAGACGTGTGACACAAACGCCAAGTACGTATTTTATGAGTTGAATTATTTTTATTCTTAAAATTGAAAGGAAAGACAATTAAGTTTGAAACTGCACGACGATTTAATTAGATTTCCTGAGATCCCAAAGAATTAGATTTTTATTTCAAAGGAATATTGAGATCATTATATTTATTATTTGATTTAAGTGTAGTGCCTTACTTAACGCGCACTTTTGTTTGTTTATAGCTAAATAAAATCGAATTATCAAAGCGCGCATGTGATTGAACTATAATGTTGATGGAAACAATTACACATAAATGGAGGGGAAAAAAATAGAAAGGCCTCTAATAATCTGTCTTATGTATTATATATTTTGCAGAACGTAACTTCAGAACTACCGCTATTTTTATTTATATAAGCAATTGAGATAAAACCAGAACGAAATAAAGGGGAAAAGATGAAGAAATTTCGTATGTTTATTTATAAAATATAATCTTAACTTAAGATAAGTACTCAATTAACTTTTATAAGGCAGTGTTTGGAAACAAATCATCTCAAAAGATATAAGTGCAGAAGAATAACTGTAGAAAATATGTAAATGGTGTAACTTATAACAAGTTCATGTTGAAAGAAGCTTCCATTGTAATTGACAACTTTAGAAGGGCACAGGTGCAAACCTCATTAAATATGTCACCCCCTAAACTTAAACTATCGCCATTTGTTTTTTTTTTTTAATCCCCACACTGTCCTCTAGATAACCTTATAAAGCCCAGAGGAAGTGAAAGTGCACAGAGCACTGCAACTGAACAAAAAAAATTAAAGAACCATCAACAAACACCAACCTCAGTTGGTTGAAAGCTTCTTTCAAACTCTCTCTCTCTCTCTCTCATTCCTCGTCTCTCCCTCATCATCACCATCATTGTTATTCTCCAAACTCTCAAGAAAGAGAGAGAGAGAGAGAGCAATGGGAAATTGCCAAGCTGCAGAGATATCAGCAGTAGTGATCCAGCATCCAAACGGGAGAATAGAGAGGCTGTATTGGCCTACAACTGCTGAGGAGATCATGAAGAGCAATCCTGGTCATCATGTTGCTTTGGTGACTATCTGTGTCGCTCAAGAGAAGCAACAGGAGAATAGTAATGGCCATGTTCGATTTACTCGTGTTCGGCTACTTAAGCCTAAAGATATGCTCTTGGTTGGCCAAGTTTATCGCCTCATTACCTCCCAAGGTACTTCAAATCCCTCAGCTTTCGTTTGGGTAGATTGCTGTTCGTAACTTCTAGTATTAACCATCATTCCTCAATTTGCTAAGAGACTGAAGTCTTTCTTCTTTTTTTTCCCCATTGTGCGCAGAGGTGAACAAGGCATTGAAGGCTAGGAAGCTAAAGAAGATAAAGCAGGCGCAATCAAGAACTGATTCAGGACCAGCAGGCGTAATGGAATCAGATATAATAGTAAATCACCAGGTACAGAAAAACTCAAGATTCATGATTCAGGTTCCAAATGTTGAATAGATGAGTTCGAAGAGTTGATTAATTGATTCATTCGTCAAATGATTTCAGGAAGAAAACCAAGAACGAGATGGGCAAAAGAGTACAGCAGCAGCGGGCTCAGGATCAAGAGCTAGGCATTGGAGGCCGAAGCTGCAGAGCATCTCAGAGAGTGTGAGCTGAGCAGTTGATGCATGCTTTCAAGGTTTGCTAGAAGAAAGAAGAGGAATTCTTTTCTCATAGAGTTTTAGTTATGGATGGGGTTCATGAAATCAGTATGTGTACAGTGTGGACAAGTGAAAAACTGATTTCACATCAGTATCCATAAGAGGTTGTGATGCCTGGGATTATTGTACGGTTGTTTCTTTTTTACAGAACTGGTAGTCAAACGCAGGATGGTCTCAGAGGCTTTAAAACTAGATGGTCTCAGAGATTTTAAAACTAGCAGAAGATATAAATTATTCTTAGAAACTCTTCAACTACTTTTTGGGTAACCAAGTGCCACTTCAACATGTTGTTTCGAGAGAGCTTTTAGAAAAAAATTTGTTATCATATTTTTCCTTTTATCTAAGATATCAAGAATTGGTAATCAGATAAGGTCCAGTTAACCCAATTTTACCATCAATTCCAATTTCAAGAGATAAGGTAAATGGTACGTAGGATTTCAACTATCACAATCAACTATCACAATGACGGTTTTCACAATAGCTGTTTCCGCAACAACAGTGGTTTGTAAGATAATAGTAAAACTCCTATTTGATCTTTTAACTTACCCCTTGAAAATTGGAATGGATGGAGTAAATGCTTTCGAATTACTCCTATTTGATCTCTAACTGGAGATGATCTTTCGACCCTACTCGATTTGTACTGAAAATATGATTGGACTAACAATTGTTTTTTTTTTAATTATAGATTTTAACTGATGCAGTTCATATTAAAGATGTCAATAAATTAATCATGAGATAATATCTCATTAATTATATGATGTATCCACTTCAATTGCCTCCAAAATGGAAATAGACAGTTCTCTAAATTGAAATCAATGTGTGGACTTATATCATTGACAAGCTAGCCAAATCCGATGTCCACAATAAAATCATGACAAGTACGCAAAAACTTTACCAGGAGATTAGGAATATGGACCTGAAGTGTTCACTTGTGATGGTTGGGAGTTCCAAATCTCCCAGTCTTTATCAACATAGTTCTGTGCCCACAATAATGCTGTCCTTGCAGCTACTGTAGCTCCTCGGAGCTTCTTCTCCTTGAGAGCCAGCAACATGTCTGTGAACGGCTCCACCATTAGAGTTCCAGGGCCTCCATATTCTTTGTGCAAGAATTCATTAAATATCTGCTTCATGAAACCATAATTCATAAAATTAGGCCCAGAGTGCTAAACTAATCACATACGAACAAAAATAATAACAAACATACATAGAAAATTGAGAGTAAGACCTAACAGCTTAGGGTTTTTGGTTAATTTGATTTCCGGAATTTTATTTACGCATCAAGACGTCTGAGTTACCCATATAACATTAGCTTCAAAGAGTATCTGACCTTCAGTTTAGATTTTGCAATTTTATGTTAGTTTGAAAATAAGGGAAAATGCTGATAAAATTTCTTCACATACATCGAGTCAAATGTCTCATCATGCACGCAGGAATTCATGATATAGTTCTGAAGTAACCACAATTGCCCTGTGATGATTTTCTTCCACTTTTCTATCTCTTCAAGATATCAATTTATATATCATGAAGTCCATAACCCCAGTTCCAATTTTAATTATAACTGGTTGGTAGGCCCTCCAGTTGTAGATGCCCTGTGCACTTCAAATATAAGTCAAAACTAGTTTTGATGAGATAGAACGAAAAAGCAGGAGTCCATAGTTCTGCAATGATCATTATCCTATGAGAGAAGAGAAAGCATATGGTTCTTTAAGAAGTTACCTAAACTAATTTACTTTAAGAGGATTAAGGAAACAAATTAACTCAACTAAATTTATGGATAAAAGAATGTCCTTACTAACATTTGTTGGTTTTATATGATTAGATGTATCATGCCAAAGTCATCTCACTGAGCCATACATGTGGCATATGCACAAAAGTCTCTGCTATAAAAAATGATTATTAAAAAAAAGATATCAGATACCCAGAATGTGCACAATCGGAATAATTTGTCCCATATCCGTATTGTAGTGCTATACCTACTACATAATTAACTAGTAAATCAATCAAAAAAGAGATTACACCTTCTCAGTAGACTACATGATAGATTCCATATATCTAGTAGCACTACATTATTCAACTACAGAGAAGATAGCACTATCATCATAAGAATGTCAAATAGCATTACTTAAATGAAAGAAGAATATTTTTGCTCAAGAAAGAGGCAATTGTATATTGCAAGCACACTACCAATTTGCTGGTGCTCTCCAGGGACATTTGTTTGCCTTGTCATTATGTATAATATCATGTTACTACTTTTAGAGATAGCTTAATCTCATAAACAAGACACTTTTCTCCTAAGAACATTTCTTCCAAAAGCAAGGCAAAAGGGACAGGTAGTGATCTAGTGCCGCGAGCTAAAGCTTTCCTTGACTCAGGTTTAGTTAGCATCTGATGTTCACAATTTGGAAAACTATATACCATTGAGTTAAGGTCTAGTGATGATATACTCTAGCCCTGAAAGAAAGACGAAGTATCTCTAAGTGAATAATACCAATTCTCTTATATTTCGCCCAAGAAGTAAAGAACCAAATGCATAAAAAATAAAGGGTAGCAGGAAGGAAAAAAGAAAAATATAGTGTACAACAAAACAAAACTGGAAATGGGAAAAGGAAGTTGTGGAAGAAGGTAAATGTGTTTTAGCACCTTATATTTGCTAATTGCAACAGAGTTTCACAAAAAAAAAAGGGGAAATCCTTGATGAAAAGACTTTTTTTATCCAATCAGAAGTTATTGACTAAGCCCCTAAATTTCTGTGTTGTCCCTGCTCGAAGGAGCTAAATGAAAGTAGATAATCTCCAGGATGGCAAAGGCACATCTGAAAATAGATGTTGTCCAGACTAAATAGTATGAGCATCATAATTGTCCTTTCCAAACTAAACAGTGCATCTTATAGAAACTGCTTTGAAGTTTCTAAAAGAACGATAATACCAAGAGAAGATGAGTTCTCTCGCAATCTTGCAAGTGTTAAGATGATAAGCATTTGATGACAACTTATGGCAAGTTTAAATTTTACACCACGGCCCTATTTAAAATATTTGTCTTGTTGTTTGCAATAATTTCCTTAAAAGTATTTTGCTGCCAAAAAACCTCTAAATGATGACCCTTTCTTTTTTAGGTACCTTAGATGTTGCAGATCAAGACCAAATAAATTGGATCTTCAATTTGCTTATCCATCTTATGTATAACTAGCAGTACATAGTCCAAAATGAAATAGATTATAGCACAAGTCTATCTTAAAACATGAATAATAATATATTAAATATGCAAATTGCTAAGCAATCCCCTCTGAAATAGCATATCCATTGATTGGAGGTAGCATGTTTCCCCTCTATTTCCTAATTCCATCATTTGTTAAACGACAAGCGAAACAGACTTACAATTCTTCATAGATTATTAACCTATAAATAGGAGAAGACATTGATTAGGAAGGTTACTTTAAGTAATGTGTTTCAGAGTATATTAAGTCCTGCCTAAGTGTAAGATGAAAGAATGCCCTTATCAACATTTGAAGATTTCTTTTGGGTGCTTAAACAATTTCATAGCCTTACAGCAATTCCACCCCTCAGCATTTGGAAGATGTTGCAAGAAACTTCCTGGCATTGGACACATGCAGAAAGTATGGGAGATGCACAGAATTTGCATGATCAAGGTCACACCTCAAAACACAGTATAGCGATGTCCCTTGTATATGATCAAGTAGCTCACCAATAGCATGAGTCAATACACCATCTGAGGAGATTAGGGTGTGAACGCGTTTTGTTGCTTGTGGGGGTCACACCCACGAGCAGCGGGGGAAAACCGTGTGAAAGGCTAAGCTTGCATGAAAGGCTAAGTGCGTGGGGGTTATCACGAGACGTGTTTATCACAAGCGAGACCAGGCTATAAATAGGAACCCTATTTTTCTCCTAGGGTTTGACGCAAGTGCAGAGAGAAAAAACGTTGTTGTCTCTTCTAGGGTTTCGTGCAAGGGCATGCAGGGAAAATCGCAGAGGCTTTTCAGTTGGTTTTGGCGGCTGTCCTTTTGAGAGAGAAATTGTGAGGGATTTGAGAGATTGTTTGAGGGTTTTATTTGTGAGATTTTGTGTGATTGTAAATCCTATTTGTTCTCTCTCCCTCTAATAGTAGATCTCCTCCCTCCTTGCCATGTGGACGTATGCAATTTGCCGAATCAAGTAAAAATTCGTTGTGTTGCTGTGATTTGTAATAGCTTGTTTAGGTTCCCTCGACAAGTTAGTCCTAGAACTGATGAGAGGAAGAGTGTATATCCTATTTTGTTGAGATATATCACTTTTGGTTCTTGTTTTCTTTGTGAAACAGAGATTTAGTTGAGATCTACTCTCTTATTGTGCACCAGAGGTGATGTCGAAATTTTCGTTGCGCACAACAAGTAGTATCAGAGCTTCGGGTTCGACTTGAGGTTCGTTTTGGAGAATTCGCTGTAGGATTCTCATTTGAAGAGTTAGATCAACAATATGGGAGAAGCAAGCACATCGGGATCGTATCTTACGAAGGTGATACAAAATCTGAGCATCAATAATACAAAGATTGATATTCCGAAGTTCAACGGCAAGATCAATTTTGGTTTGTGAAGATGCCACGTGATGGATGCGTTGGACGTACAGAATTTGGAGGAGACTCTCGAGTTACAAGAGAAACCTAATGATATGGAGGACAATGTTTGGAAAAAATTGAACAGTAGGGCTTGTGGAGTTATTCGGTCATGCTTAACGTCGGATCTTATTTATGATGTGATGAACGAGACGTCGGCGAAGAAATTATGGGAAACGTTTAATGAGAAGTATCTTACTAAGAATCGGCTTTACTTGAATAAGATGTTTTACCAGTTCAAGATGAAGAGGAGAGTTTTCATTAGGAAGCATGTTAACAACTTTACAAAGCTGCTTTCGGATATGATCAATGTGGATATCATGGTTGAGAATGAAGACAAGACGATGCTACTTTTGTGTTCGTTGCGTGAGGATGATTATGGTACCTTTGTTCTCACTATGATTAATGAAAGAACGACTGTTAATTACAAGGAGGTGACCTCAGCGTTGGTGAATTATGAGTTAAGGAAGAGTGTTGACAAACCCTCCGAGAAGGCATCGGGAGATGCATTAGCAGTCCAAGACCGTGGTCCAAACCGTAGTAGGAGGTCGCAGTCTAGAAGTGCACACTTTGCAGTTCGTAAAAATTAGTGTGCCTTTTGTAAAGAGGATGAACATTGAAAAGCCGAATGCCCAAAGTTAGATCGAGCCAAGAAGAATAAGGGGAAAATTATACAAACTTCAGAGGTGAATGTTATCAAGTCTAGTGTTAACAATTCAGATTCGGATTCTTTAGGCTATTCGTTATCTGCACTACCGTCAGTTTGTGTTGCTAACTCTACAGAATGGATATTGGATTCGGATGCTTCTTACCATATTTGTCCTAGGAGGGATTGATTCTCCAGCTTTCAAGAGTTGGAAAGAGGGGATGGCGTGCTCATGGGTAATGAACATGCATGCTCTATTAGTGGTATTGATATCGTTCGGATTAAGATGTGTGACGGGGTGATTCGGGAGTTGGATCAGGTGAGATTCGTTCCGCAATTAAAGAAGAACATCATTTCACTTGGAGTTTTGAAGGCGACAGGCTATCGGGTGACATTAGAGGATGCATTGTTGATTGTCACATTGAGGTCCATGATTGTGATGAAGGACGTCAGAAAGAGCAACTTGTATTATTTGCTTGGAAGTACGGTAATTGATAGAGAGTTGATGACTTCTTGGGATTTGGCTAGATTGTGACGTTGTTTGAGGCTGGGATATTTGCTTATTGGTACCGTGCATTGTTTGTTGAGAAGTGTTTTGACCTGCAGTTTGAAATCCTATGAACACATTGGTATGAGCGAGAAGACCGATGTGAAGTTTGGCACTTCTATCCATCGATCGAGGGGTCTTCTAAGGGGTGTTCATTCAGGCATTTGGGGCCTTCCAAAGGGGCATCATTGGAAGGTAATAGGTATGTAGTTTCCTATGTTTGTGACTGTTTTAGGTATTAGTGGGTTGCAACCAAGTCCCGTTTGTGTGAAGTCCTAGAAGTCAATAACAGTTGGAGGAAGTGTGTTGGCAGAAAGGTAACT